TATACTTTGTATTTGTTATTTATCTTCCGTTGAACTTCACTTAAACATGAGCAACCGGAAGAAAACAAACACGAGGAGGGTGGAACAGCTTGAAGGACCCCGAAACGCTAGGCAAGTCGTTGATGATGCTTGTTTAATGGCTAACCACTTTATTAATAATGATGTTATGTCTGATACTTATTATTGTAAGTCACCTTTGGCAGGCATTAAGGAACAAGGCTTAAGTGAGAGTTCTAAGGTACCAGAGACGGATCAGATACTTAGGACACCGATAGTAGGTTTAGAACTACCTAAGGTCGAACTTTCATTTTTTGATGGAAAATCTCGCGACTACTTTAGATTTATTCGACAAATTGAAACGTTTATAGAACCCAGAGTAAAAGATGAAAATTTGCGTTTATTGTATTTAATTCACTATTGTAAAGGAAGGGCAAAGAATGCGATTGAAGGTTGTCTTATAATGGATCCACAAGCGGGATGTAAGAGAGCTAAGGCCATCTTAAAACAGCTCTTTGGACAGTCACATGTAATAGCCCGTGAAACCTTAGAGGACTTATTTAGAACCGGGAACGCAGATTTTAATGATCCTGAGGAATTGACGAATTTGGCTATTAAAATGCAGAATGCTGCTTTAACTTTAGAACAGCTAAATTGTGAAACGGAACTTCATTCCCTGGTTACTTTAGAACGAATAGTCAGGCTCTTACCTCGTCGAATGCAAGTCCAGTGGGCAGAGCTGGGAATCAAATGGGACGAAGAGGAGAGAGAGCCTAATTTCAATGAGTTGACGGAATTTATTGTCTCGCGCTAAGATAGCTAGTAGTAGGTTCGGAAGATTAGCTTATCGGGCTAAAACAGGACATAATACGGAAGCTACTAGTGGTCTGCGTGCGAGACATGAGGATTTTTCGTTTCTATCTAACGCACGCCCGGAAGATAAGAGAGTTGTCAATTATATCGGGTTGAAGGCTGTTGAAGGCCGAGTATGTGACCGTGACGATGTAAAACCTCTTGATGCGTATCCCAGTAAGAAGCCGGTTGGTGTAACAGATAAGATGGCTTTTCTAAGTATGGAAAAGAAAGAAAAAGGTGAAAAGTGTAGGCATCAAGATGGATCCGAAGTGTGTGATGATAAAAGCCTCTTAACTGCTCGAAAAGCCTGGAACGGTTATTTGGATTCGAGTAAACAGAGGTTAGTGAGTTCAGTAAATATGAATAAGGCCAGGGCAGGATTGTCTGGACGGAATAAAGCCTATGTTCGGAACCCTTCACTTAGGGTAAATTATATAACGGGACCTAGAGTAGATTATAGGATAAGTGATGGCGGTACTGTAAAGGCTAAGAAGCCTAGGAAACAACATGATGCTACTATTATTAAGAAGCCTAAACATCATTCTCTCCCGGATGTTATGACTAGCAATGGAAATAGTAGTCATCAAAATCTTAATAGTGACAGCGATAGTAAAGAGACAGAAAGCGTGAGCAGTCCACTTATAGTGACTAGTCGATCAACTTCATCGAACGAGCCTACTAGGGTTTCGACGTAATCGGACCTTGTCGCGAATGTTAAGTTGATTGAGGATACACAAGGTTGTGTAACTGTAAGTGTTCCTACTTCGGTTGACTGTCAGTCAAGTGATGATGAGAAGGAAGCATCTGATGGTAACAGTCAGTCTACAGTGTTGCATGATAACGATGCTATTGATGTGCATACGTCTTGTGTCTCTGAAACGGAACATGAAGAACAACAAGTGAGTTTATCGGCTTTGGATTGTGACACTAATGCTGTTCTTTCATGTAGCGAGATGAGTTATACCACAATGGAAGAGTCTCACTCTACGGATGCTAGTGCAGACCGAATCGACGCAACTTGTCTGACACAATGGAATCAGGATGACGTTGATAATAATCTGGATGTCACTTATGTGACAACTAAGTTACCGACGATGACGAATGCTGATCAAACCTCCTCTGTATCAGGAGATGGAGAGGTAAATATTGGTCCCATTTTATGCTACTTAAAGTCTTCGGGAGACGAGGAAATATCAAAATTGGAGATCCCACCCTTGCATATTATCTATGGGTCAAGAACTTCTGTTGATAAGTCAGCATCACTGACTTCATTGTGTCTGCCGATCGGAGCAAGTGGTGGTGGAATGACGACTCATCCCCATGATATGGAATGTAGTTCCCGGATAGGATATGACCAGCTTTACGACGTGTTGTACATGTTCGTGTGGGTTAATTGCGTAAGGTTTATACTACCGTTAGGTCATGTTACGATAGGTAGGGGAATCAAGGGCCTGATGGGAAGGTATAGGTACCTAGTTAGCTTGATAGGTCATATCCATGTTGGATGGCGGGTAGGCGTACTGCTGTAAGTCCTACACGTTCTTCCGGTGTGGATTAGGGGATGAGTGGGAACCCTAAATTGAAGTGTCATTAAACGCTTGCTTTTTTGCATGGAGGGATTTTGCGGGCCGGTGTAGAATCCTTTTTGAATGTTTTGATTTTTGGAAAATCCCTCCATGTTTACATATTTCTGTTATGACATGACGGACTCTTTCTGTTGACATTTTTGGTATTTTATTTGATTCCAATTTGAGATTTTATCATTGTATATTGTTATTATTTCTATATTTTGTACTTATATTGAAGTTTTATGTTTGCTTTTGAACTGTATATACGTTGTTTCAAATTGATCTTTAATATGGCCACAGCCATATTTGGATTGATACTGTGGCGGACGGATTTAACAGCGCTTACCCCTCTTCATTCGGATACTCCTCGGAGTAATTGTGACCTGGAAAGTGCATCAACTTCAGGTATTGCTTTGTATTTCCATCTTTTAATATAATATAGACCGTTTTCTCCTAGAATTGTTGTGTTTTTTGGACATTGGACTGGGAGATACGCGTTCGAATTGCACTTACTGGAAACCATTTGAACTGCTACGGCAGAAAATCCATTTATAGTCTGAAGTTGGCTCGACTTTTGATATATCACATGCAGACCCCATTCACGGCAAAGCCTCACCGACTGGCACTGGACAATTCAGTTTTCGCCAAGCGTAAGTTTGACAGTTTACTTGCCATATGTATTATTTCGTCTTTCTCACAGTCCTTGAGCCTCCTCTCTCCACTCAGTTCGCAAAAAGATGGCGTTAGTTGAAGACGACATGGCTATTACAGAACAGCAACGGCAGATATCCAATGTCCCGCCTCCGAACTTGTATAAAGCTCCACATTGCATCTGCCTGGGGAAGTTTTTTCACACCACGGAGCAGCGATTTTATGTATATCAGATAACGTCCAACGACTATCTGCATAGATGCGAACAATGCCTCCTGTGTAAACTTGAATATAACATCGACAGGTCGCTCCCCCTTGAGAGTTATCTACCTGTCCATATGTAGATTCGGTACGCAACAGCCTTACGAAGGATCTTTTCACGTGATCGCTCTTCACGAAAAGACCTTCATGTTTGATGGACACAGTCAGCATTGATCGTCTGAAACCAGCACACGTCAGTGGCAATGCCCTATCTGGTAAATCGAGATTTAATGCTGAACTCGTGCATCTCACCAGCGGGATCCTTATTTCTCCTTTGGATCCCACGCTAGATGTATCAGAGACCTCATTCTCACGTCCCAGTCAACAGCACGCGTCATCTACAGTATCTACGGATGAGACTTCGGTCTCACGTCCAGATCGGCAGACCACGCCGCCCTTGACTTCGGATGAGATTGCAGGCTCACGAGGTACGCACGAGACTGTCGTCTCGCGCACCCCTACCTGTACACTTTCGCGATTAATATCTTAATCAACAACGAATACGCCATAGGACACTATCCTCACACTACGTGTACGCTACACCATATATTCAGCAATATACTTTTATATGAGATAATTACTTTGTCTTCTTCTATACAGTGTGTTGCACTGCCCTAAAAGTCTTAATTCAGTGCAGCTTTCAAAGATTTGATTCTGAATATAAGGCGTTTATGGAAATGGTACAAGATAAGTCCTTAGTTATCCGATTTTTTGTGTTTTCAGTAGGATACCCTCAAATTACTGTTGCTATAATAATAACACTGCTCAATGTGTGTAGTTGTCAAATCATAATATGTACACTTCTTTCTTTGACTGATGCTAACTCAGAATTCGCTTCTCGTTCATTGTGCTTTCTCTTTTAATTATATTAATTTGTCTCCCAAATCTCTAATGTATCTTCCTAACCTTTTACAGTTTATTCAAACTTTATTTATTTAGCCATATACTTGCTTAATATGCTTGTGACACTAGAAATTGTCATTAATTTAATTTTAAAAATAACCATAGATAATTACATACTGTATAGTTTACAAGTCTAAGAGACGATTTTAGTTCCCACTTAACAACCAGAAGGTGTAATTCAAACATTAGCTAACAAATATTTGTTTCTAACTTCATAATGATTGTACTAAGATTGGGAGTACAGCAGTTTCAACAACAGGGGTGCAAAAAACATGTTTATTACTCATTTGAATGTGTCATTGTCTCTGCTTAGCTAATTTTCTGGATCTACGTCTACCGGTGCAGTCAATTTTACTGTGCGTCTGCTTACGGCCATCACCATCATGGTAGGAATAGTGAATGAACTGTTGAAGAAATGCTTCAACCCTCGGTAGAATCAGACTCATCTAAGTCAACAACATCTTTCACAAGAAGCAAGAGTTGGAGTTTTTTAAATAGTGTTGTAACCTGTGGAAATTTTATTCTTCCATGATGTTCACTAAATTCGATTAAGGATAGATATATGACTGACAGTACATAACCGATTTGATGCTAAGCCAAAAGGCGTTCAGAGGCTGAAATATCGAAATTTTTTATGACCATTTTATTTGCTATTATCCATTTGTTACGATGTAAATATCATTTTGAAACTTTCACTCTGTTCTCTGTCATAGCGATACTCTCTAAAACTCTAAAGAAATTGTCTGTCGTTGAAACAGAAACTGCGTTTTAAGTATACTTAATGTTTGAATCTTTCAACAGTAATAATTTATGTGGTACACTTTTCCGCGGTCTATTTGGCCCGTGTTTTCCATTTATGTATTTTGGGATTGGTTCTAGACTTGTGTCACTCAATTATGTTGTGCTTATTTTTACCTTTCTCTGGTTATCTGTGTTAAGCAATCATTTTGACATCCCAGTTGTAGATAATTTTAAATACTCTGAAAACCACTCTGAATTGCTTGACGAGTCAACTGGGTTTTCCTACGATCCTAGGAGTCCTTTAGTTAAATGCTCTTATCTTCCTCGCCATTCCATATGGTGTGAACCTCCCCTAGGTGGGTACTTTTATTACTGTACTATCTGCTAGATTTAAGGAGTAATAAGTCCCATTATGAAGAATTGAAATATGGATGCTTGAAATGGGGCGGAAAAGCAACAAATTCAGTCATGCTAACATCACTTGTGTGTCACGCTTTGGACAACATCGAGTGTTATGGAAATCGTACATTCTTGTTACCCAACTACCCCTGTCTTCATTACAAAGGACACTATTTTGTAACAACGTTCATATACAGTTTACTACTAGGATTTCTCGGCGTTGATCGACTATGCTTGGGTCACATAGGTACAGGTGTCGGTAAACTCGTAACATTGGGAGGTGCTGGTATGTGGTGGATAGTGGATATTGTTCTTCTCATTCGTGGTGACTTGGGCCCAGCTGATGGGAGTTCTTGGATGCCATTTTACTAGATTTTTGTAAAATTGCTGATTAAAAACTTAGTTTATGTTGTCTTGTTTTGTTTTCAAGGTATTGTCTGATCTAAAAATTACATACTGAATAAATTTGAATGTCAGCGAGTGATTTTCGTCTACTTGATGATGACACTCAGTTCATGGACAAGTACCCTAATGGGCTTTCTTTGGCTGATTTACTACCATTTTACGACTCCATTGCTAAGAATGAACCGCTTAAATTAGAATGGGTATGTCCGGGGAAAATCGATCCAAACGTTCAGAGGGAAAGTAAGTTTAATTAAAAGTTAAGAAATGATTTGTTCTGTATCCCTTCTGCGCAAATAAGTTTTAAGGTCAGTAATTTATTCGGCCTGTTGTTCGCTGCCTGTATGAGAGTTAGAACTTGTGGATACAATATACTTCGCTCAAATTATGATACACGTAGCCACTTGTTTCTAAGTGAAAAGCCTGTTAAGTATAAATTTATTGTTCAACTAACTTGTTTTCACGAACGTCTTCATAAGTGCTTTGGAAATATCTCTGTGTTTGTAGTTAACTATTTTTGGATGTAGATGATCCTGAATTACTTTGGTCGAAGCCATTCATAGTCACATTGATTGATACACTTTGTTTCTTTGATCTGCTCGGATACACTGGTCTTTTCTACATCCTTTCCTGTTAGTTACTTATGTCTGTCTTAGAAAAACACTATTTTTGATTGTTCTTCACAATGTTAAGGAGTTTGGGTACTTGTAACTACTCAGTTGTAGTAGTTCTATATGCCATTAATTTTCATGGAATAGTGAGATCGTGGTTAGTGATCGGATTTAAAGAACTAATTGTGGTTCATCAGTTTGTTTGTTAAACGTGGCTATTGATTCATGAGTCCATAAACAAGATACACTTATGCAAGGATTGCCGTTTCCCCACACCGAATTCTCGGGCTACTTTTTGTAGCAAAGAATTGTGTATCTTTAAAATAACTAGATTTAAAGTGATTGTATGAGGCAAAACTAGAGCAACAGAACTAATGTTCCGCTTTAACTATCTAGTGATATGCACCGATTAACACGGCTCAGTATTTGGCCATACATATTTACTATTTAGACTTTCGGGAGAAAATTGTTTGGAATGATATCTAGTTATCACTGGGTTCCTCAAGTGAAGACTGAGATGTACGTAGTAAAATCTCTATTTGTGAATAAGCAAAACGTCAAAATAATTATTTGATATAAATGTCGGCTACAATTTTACTGAAAGAGGTTGATTTCATCATTTATCGTAGAAATATTATTTACAGTGATAGTGAGTTGAGGATTTCTAGTTCAAGTTGAAATCAGTTCAGCACGCTCTGAGGAAAGCAATAAGATAAACGACCAAGAAATCAAAATAGTAAATAACAATATACAACGAAACATCGAAAATGTAATTTTAATTCATATAGAATAGATATCTGAATTCGATATTTAGACAACAAGTTATAAACACGTGTTATTTCAGCCGGATCTTATTCTCTGACGATGAATTACGACTTTCGCGCAAATCCTATAAATGAAGTTTCACTTCACATATTGCACAGACCAATAGTAAATGGTTTCGGGGATGTGTGACATCTTGATTTGCACACCCTATATGACCCAACATACTCCTTTTCTAACCACTAATAAGTGTCAGGATAGGTCAGGGCGTGGCATCCGTAATTCATATCTTCCCCAATTTGGTGATCGTATCCTGCTCATAATCACTCACTAGCTTAGTCAGTCAGCTGCACAACATCGTACGTAGGTACCTTAGTTCGGGTTGCTATACCAAATCAGCACAGAGACGCGATTGTCAGTTTACATTCCGTAGAAGTAGAGGTAGTAGAAGTATAAGCAGTAGTCAGTAAGGTTAGGGTCTGAGGATATTATTCAAAACGTATAATGCCATGAAATAAATTTGAGATTAGAAATTGAGAGGAGACAAAGAATGGATGCACATGCGCCATTGCAAACGGTTTTGAACCATGTTATTTAGGGTCTCTAACCATCGGTGACTTTCGTCTCGCGGACCCCAACCAGACAGTCTGTGTCTACCAACATGGCTCAGTCCACTTGTCAGTGACTTCGTGCATTTGTGACATGTTTTCGTTTGGTGCCCCCTACCTTTCTTCCAATCTATTCCTACACCGCAAAACATAGCTCGATGAGGCAGTCGGTGTTTGGGCATTCGTAACACATGACACAACCACCTCATCTGATCAAGCTTCACTACTTCATCTATTGATCTGCCATCCCTACTTAGTACTCCATTCCTAACTATAGCATTGTTTACTCCGCTGTCCCAGGACATACGAGCAACGCTTCGAAGACACCTATGATCGAAACCAGTAACCTACGAATATCTTCTACTCTGACTGGCCATGTTTCACACTCGTATAGTAGGAAGAAGCGAACTGTTGCGCGGTAGACTCGTCCTTTCGTTAGCAGACGTATATCTCGCCTACGCCATAAGTGACTCAAGTTGACAAAAGCCAATTGAGCTTTCTGTATCCGTGCTGAGATTTTGTCAGTCACCAGACTATCGGCACTGATGAGACTTTCAAGATAAGTGAAGCTGTCAACACGCTCAACTGTTTCACTTCCTATCACCAATTGAGGTGCCGATGCAAGCCGATTCTTAAACAACAATTTGCATTCCGACGGGGGAAAACCTCATCCCGAACATGCTTGCATTGTTACTTAGGGTAATCAGGAGACACTACATTTTAACAGCATCTTCACCAAATAGAACTATGTCACCAGCATACTCTAAGTCAACAAGCGTGTCTGCTGGTGAAAGGTTCACCTCTGAAAAGTCAGACGAAGTTAATGTTGTATCCAGAAGTATGTCAATCACTAAGTTAAACAAAGATGGGGAAAGTGGACATTCTTGACGGACACCACTCGAAGTAATCAATTTCGATGACAGTTCGCCATAATCTCTCACTCGATCATTGGTGTTCGAGTGCTGAGCTTTTACAAGGTTAATGTACTTCTCTGGTACATGTTTCAATGGCAGACAGTACCACAGAACCTCACGACCATCAGAGTCGAATGCCGCTTTGAGGTCCAGGAAGACAACTATTGTCGGAGGCCTAAGCGTGTGTCTGTGTCCCAGAACCTGCCGTAGTGTGAATATGTGGTCTGTACAGCCATGTCCGGGTCGAAAACCAGCCTGGTTTTCTCTAGTTAGGCGTCGAAGTATTATCGAACCTAACAATTTAGACACTATTAGTCCACCTGATTCCTCTGTGATTGTCACAAGAGGACTTTTGTCCTCCCTTTGTAGACTGGGGAAATCATGGAATGAGACCAGTCAGGTTGGGTCATGCATAGTTCCCAGATTGAGCTAATTTCACTGCTAAAACTGGACTACCATCCTTAAAAATCTCAGGGGTTAACCTATCAGGACCCGCTGCCCTTCTTCTCTTTAGATTTCCTATAGCTTTCTCGACTGCATAAAGAGTCGGAGGACTTACGTCAACTTACCGTTCAGGTGTAGCTGAAGGTCAATTGAACTGCTCCATGGAGTGTCCTGCCCATCGACCCAATCTCCTAGATTTAGGATGAGTAATAGTTCCATTCCTTTAACGAGATAATCTCATCAACAGTTGGATTCCTATTTCCGGTTTTCTTGATAAGCTTGAATAGTTTTCTACTGTTACCTGTCGCCACCACCCTTTCCATCTCTTTTGCTTTCGCTACCTACCACTTCGTGATCATCGCGTAGGCTTTTTATCAGCCTGCGCCGAAGGTGACTCCGCTCTTCATAGTACTCAGGGCCAGATGGGATGAGTTTTCGAACATCCGTCAGTTCGGTAGATGCTACTGATACCCACCGCTTTTCCCCATCCTTGTGGTTTACCTTGTTAGCAGATATCACTGCTGTTCCCTCAGCTTTTTGGATATCATTCCAAGCTGCCTCCGTATGGTAATCACTTACATGGTTGCCTAACTGACTTTCTAGTTGCTCCTGAAATATGTTCTTATCTTTATTGTTATTAGATAGAACCCTGAAAGGTTTCCTTGCGGTGTCTTTCCTACGTCCTGTAAGCCTCAAACAAATACGCGCTCGCACTAAGGCATGGTCTGAGTCTAAACAAGTGCTCCAGAATGGGCGGCAGTCTCCAATAGTAGGGCTACTCCACCGATGGCTTATAACGATGTGATTTAGTTGTATCGGCTTTTGGGGTCACCAGGCCAAGAGATGTTTCCCCTTATGCTTAAAGTTAGTGTTTGCTAGGAATAGGCGGTTATCTGAGCATCTCTGCAGCAGACGGTCGCCGTTATCTGTTATTATTATTATTATCTGGAATTTGCAGATGACCTGGCTCTTTTATCGCACACACAACAACAAATGCAAGGGAAGACAACCAGTGTAGCAGCAGCAGTAGGTCTCAACATACATAAAGGGCAAAGTAAGATTCTCCGAAACAATGCAACATGCACCAACCAAATCACTCTTGAAGGAGATGCCTTGGAGGGCGTTGACACCTTTGCATATCTGGGCAGCATCATCGACAACCAAGGTGGATCCGATGCGGATGTGAGGGCGCGGATCGGCAAATCAAGGGCTGCATTTCTACAACTGAAAAATATCTGGAACTTCAAACAACAGTCAACCAAAACCAAAATCAGGATTTTCAATACAAATGTCAAGACAGTTCTACTGTATGGAGTGGAAACTTGGAGAACTAAAAAATCCATCATTCAGAAGATACAATTATTTATGAACAGTTATCTTCACAAAATACTTCGGATTCATTGGCCAGACACTATCAGCAACAACTTACTGTGGGAGAAAACAAACCAGATTCCAGCGGAGTTGGAAATCAGGAAGAATTAGTGGAAGTGGATAGGACACACTGCGAAAAGCACCTAACTGCGTCACAAGACAAGCCCTCACTTGGAACCCTCAAGGCAAAGGGAAAAGAGGAAGGCGAAGGAACACATTACGCCGAGAAATAGAGAAAGACGTGAGAAGATTGAACAAAAATTAGACAGAACTGGAGAGGAAAGCCCAGGACAGAGTTGGTTGGAGAAAAGTGGTGGGCGGCCTATGTTCCATTGGGGGTAATAGGCGTAAGTAAATAAGTAAGCCGCGACACCATAAGATCCACCCAGCTGTTTTTCCTTTTCACTTAGTCCACCTACTTGAGCATTAAAGTCACCAGCCATTCTTACTATATCAGAGCGCTTAACTTATTGTAGGAGTTTAGAGAGGTTTATATCAAACTTATCTTCCACCTCCTCTGAACTGCACCAGTGGGAACGCAGGGAGAGACAAGAAAGAGGCAACGGCGAGTTTCCCTATCTTTACGAGTTCGTATAGTCGGACAGCGCATAAGCGACTATCTACCGGGATCCAGTCTAAAAGAGCCAGTTCTGCCCTTGAACGTAATACTATACCTAAAGCAAGGCCACGGGAAGCAGCAGGGCTTCCAGATACGCGAAGAGTAAATCGAGTTGGTTCTCTACTTTGACAAATGAATGCGCGTCTCGAAGACGTACCACGCATCGATGGCGCGAGATCCCTTCGCTAAGTAATTTCATCACACGATCAATGTTTCAGAAATACCTACAGTTGAGTATTAGTCCCCTATACACTATGTTCCATATCTGTAGAGAACCTTTGCAGAAATTGACCTAGTAGAGCTACAGAAACTCTCGAGAAAAGTGAAATGCTCAGCTCGCTCGATTATATTTCTTCCCTAGGCTAAACTATACATTAAAAAGCCATTACACTTTGCGGCTTGCCAATCTTTATCGTATAGTATTTGAAATTAGAGACATGTGCTTTTATGTATTTAAAATATAAATATTGGCACTAGGGCATTAAGATATCTCCGCATCACACAAATAATTGGACTTGTGTGTTGGTTGGAACGCTGCCCTAATGCTCAAACCAGAGCAAGTGGTTTTAGGGGTTTACTCCTGACCATTTGATTTAGAGCTCTACTTTCTGTTCGTTGATTAGAGCGATCTTGATAGTCTTAGTTTTAGCTTAGTCAGTTTGTGTAAAACTTGACTATTATGATTAATATTTTGTACTAGGTCATAAGTCACATCATGGTGCTTTTTTTCTTGATGCCTTATGATCTGGGCTGTTGCCTAAGTTTAAATATTTTCTCTACATATGGAATAAAGTGGTGCGTAAAAGATAGTTAGGGACTATTTCTGTTGAGGAGTGAATGACGCTTGTCAAAATATTCCTAATCACATTTATTCGCGGGTTCAAAGTTTTCTATATAAAAATGTTATTTTGTTAGAAAGATCTGTTTTGCTGGGTAACTAACTGTCTTGTCTGATATCAATTCTTTTGGGTCGGGGGTCACATCAGTAATTTCTTCTCATGAAAAGCCATAACCACCCGATCATCTCTTATTGTTGCATATCACCTATTGACTAGCATTGAATTCATCTACGTGGCAATCCCAAACCCGTTCATGAAATCCTAATAATAAGGAGTGATAAAGCTACTAATACTGTGTGATAACAACAGTTATCATTAATTTGTATTCTGAAGTCGTCAGTGTTCTATTTTATTGTCATCAAATCCCCTCATAGTTAACAGTAGATATTCAACATTTCTTTCTCTTCACATTTTTTTGAATAAATTTATAGCAACTACAACTCGTACTGAAACAAATGATAATCCTATCCCGAAGGTCCCAGAATCCTTAACTAGTATTGTAAAATTAAAAGAGTTCGACTTTGATGAGTCTCCAAATCAACCATCTATTCCTTCGGTTCCACTTGGTGCTGCTGCTCAAAATGCAAACTTACCACTTAGACGTCTAGCTGGCACTTCCAGACATCCACCTCGTCAACCGCGTGTAGCTAGTATGGATAAAATATTAAATGACTTTTTCAAAACACGCAAAGAGCCTTCTTCCCCTGCAGTCGTGACCGAAATATCCACTTCAACTATTGCTTCAAGTACTGTACAACATTGTACTCAATCGTCTGAACTTTCTCAGGGAGTTAGTTTTCCCACCGATACAAACAACAACAATAATAATAATAATAATCCCGAACAAGATAAACAAGAAGCTCTTGCCGTTGCATTAGCTAAAACTTCAGTGACGCCACAAGTTGTTTATAATCAATCAGATAATGTACCTTCCGGTTTCACACCATATGACAATCCTAATATACAAACTTCTTCAGCTGGTCAGCTTTCCGCTTCTATTGTAAACAATAATGAAGAAAAAATAATGGACTGTCATAAATTAGGAGAAACTGACCTTTTTCCTAATAAAACTAATTCTTCCGACTTTTCTACTACTATGAACATTTCAGACATCTCAGTCGCTTCTATTAATGTAAATAATGTGTTCCAACGTGAGAATGAAGCACACTAAGATTACTTGGTAGATGTGACATAAATCTAAGCCAACCAAATATAATTTCAAACTATGCCAACTAAATAATAGCGTCTTTTTATAATATTTATTGAACAAGAATACAAATACATAACTGTACATAACATTTTTATGTATAATAAATTTCGTGATTGCTTTTCTTTTATTCAAGTGAATGATTGACAGGCACCTACATTTATGTACCTTGTTGTTACCACGTGTATATCCGAGATTGTTTAACAATCTAGGAATTATGAGCCGACACACCCGAAATGGTTTGACAAGTAATTGCTTTGGTAGCACTGATCTAAGTATTTAAGTGCTATATGGGTAAGAGGTATTGGCTAGGAAATTTTCAGTACGGATATTGAAAGGTTTGTTAGACTTTCCTCAATTGAGTAATGTGACGTATATATATACTCCTTAAAAAAATAAGAAGTCTCCCAGCTTATACTTTACTATGTGGAAGTAAATAAAATGGTAAAATTTTCTCTTGTTCTGAGGACACGATTCAAAAGTTTCAGGGATAAAAGATAATCAGCAAATTGTTGTTTAAGAATCGGCTTGCATCGGCACCTCAATTGGTGATAGGAAGTGAAACAGTTGAGCGTGTTGACAGCTTCACTTATCTTGGAAGTCTCATCAGTGCCGATAGTCTGGTGACTGACGAAATCTCAACACGGATACAGAAATCTCGATTGGCTTTTGCCAACGTGCATCACTTATGGCGCAGGCGAGATATCCGTCTGCCAAACAAAGGACGAGTCTACCGCGCAACAGTTCGCTTCTTCCTACTATACGAGTGTGAAACATGGCCAGTCAGAGTAGAAGATATTCGTAGGTTACTGTTTTCGATCATAGGTGTCTTCGAAGCATTGCTCGTATGTCCTGGGATAGGGGAGTAAACAATGCTATAGTTAGGAATGGAGTACTAAGTAGGGATGGCAGATCAATAGATGAAGTAGTGAAGCTTGATCAGATGAGGTGGTTGTGTCATGTGTTACGAATGCCCAAACACCGACTGCCTCATCGAGCTATGTTTTGCGGTGTAGGAATAGATTGGAAGAAATGTAGGGGCGGTCAAACCAAAACATGTCACAAATGCACGAAGTCACTGACAAGTGGACTGAGCCATGTTGGTAGGCGTACATTCTTCACAGAAATTCTGACCACTCTTAGGCGCAACTGTTTGGGTCAGTCGATGAAGATATACCTTGGAGCTTGTTTCTTTTTACTGTCAAGACTAATAAGTGAGTATATGCCTAAAATGTGGCGTCGAAAGTTTTGTTTCGTAACCAGCATTATACATTAGACCTCGCCAAACCGATTTAATAGATATGACTCCCTAGTGTCTCTCGAGTCGTTAGAATTAGAGTTTAGTACATCGAATCACAGTCAACAAATGAGTTGAATTACATCATTTTGAAGTAGAAAAGATGAACAGTTTGAGAGTAGTATGAAAAAAATTTATAAAAGTGCTTCAAAATAATTTAAGCAGTTGATGAAATTCAGATATAAACAGACTATGGTAAACACATGAGTTACGACAACCATATTGTATCAACTTGCAAGCAAGTAATGTACAAGTGGAATTTGACTATTCTGTGAAGACTCATTGAATCACAGTAGATTGTTTGTTACTATGTTTGAGTATTTATGCAGGTGATAATAATTCCTCTGTTTCATGATCGTATCTACATAATTTAATTAACAGGTTGAAACATATATTTGGATCTTCACTGTAAGCTATAGTAATAATTTATATTACTACATAGTTTGGATAATCGTATAGGTTATATTATGTTATCATCAAATTAATCTCTATAAATTATCCTCCATTCAACCGTTATTCGGCAATAATTTTAGGTTTAATTAGAAATGCTTATATTACTGTTTGTCAACAAATCTTTGGAGTTGTACACATCAAATAGTTATACGACCTAGTTAGATGTAAGATATTGGGGTAGGGATTTGTTTCACTATAATACTAGTTCACTTGATCGTACCAAAAACTAGTAAAGAAGTTGTAATTTAAATGGCTTGAATAGTCTCATCATTATTAGGATTTTTAATTTTAGAATTAGTAAAACACAAGAAAATAATAATAATTAAACCAATTTTTTTTATAATATTTCCCATAAGTATTATCTAATTATCATCAACTATTAGTAGTTGTATTTATTAGTATGAATATTAACAAATGTTTCAATTCTCAAGACAATATCGGTTGTTGCTTTTTTTTATTTATTTATTGAAAAGTTAAAATGTAAACACAAATGGAATTGTTCATCAACATCCACTGTTTACCTCGAAACGTGGTGTGTATTGAACTTGAAAAAAATTATTACAAATCAAAGAATAATTTAGCAGTGCCGATATTGAAAAAAATGTAAACACCTATAATGAATAAAGATCAGGAATGAATGATATGATAGTAAACAAACAAGCAAAATAATATTGAAAATTAATCTTTGAATGTTCCCTCACAGTTCTTGTTGTTGTTGTGGCTGTTGTCACAGACATAACAAATAAGGATAAAACAAAATTACATCTAATAATGGTTGATTACTTTCGAAAAAGGAGAAATGAACAAAAGTTTTGTAAAAAAAGAAACAAACAATAAAATGAATCAATAGAAATATTTTTCATTTTTCATTTAATTTTTTATGAAACTGTGATGTAAATAAATAAGTAAAAGTTTACTTACAATATTTTTAAATCTTCTTTGAAATTTATTTAAAGAGTTCAGTTGACTGTGTTCCATTCACAATAATGTGAATTAATTGTGTAGAATTAAAATCTCTCGTTCAATATTCAATAGATATAAATAACTGCCACTGCACAAATCACCTTCCACTTTTTTTTTCTATAAATCAGTCTAATAAAGATTGAAAACTAAAATATGAAGTGTTATTTTCTTTTTCAAATATTGTCATTATTATTATTAGTTAGAATGGATAAATATTTTGTTGTGTACGTTTACGTTGTGAAGTTTTTGTAGACTTTTTCTGATGACGATCATTTTGATGATTTATTAAATCGGTTGATTTAGTTATTGATGGTAAAAATGGTTTTAATCCAATTGAATAAGCTTGTGTAACTTTTTTTAAATTTAAATCATGTAATTGTTGATGATGTGTGGTTTTTAAATCAGTTTGTTTAGTTTGCGGGTTATGAATGGATGGTTTCAATGGTTTTGTTGTATTATTATCACTGCGTCCTATGGCACTTTTAATTGGACGTGTTATTTTGATTGAATTTAATTCAGTATTCAATCTGTTTGGTTGATTGGAAAAGTTTTGGAAAAAAAACACTTATTTATTGAATGATTAGTACAAAGAAACAATTTTCAATTCTTCTAAACACCAAGAAATAAATTAGAATAGAAAGCATTTGAAGAATATTAACAAAGTGATATGTTGTGATAGGGCGAATAGTGAAGATTAATTTGGGAATAATTTACAGTTAGTTATTATAGTACTTTATTATTGTATATCTATATCCGATTTATTGTATGCTTTTAGGAGACTCATTAACTATTTCTGTAAGTTTTGTCATGCTTTAAATTAGAGCTAACTAGTCTGTCATGCTTCCTTTTCGTTTTCTTTCCTTTCTAGAGTAGTCACGCTTATATTGTAATTTCATACGTCTGTTGATGTGCAGTCACAAAATTGATCTTATGTTGTTGTATGGGTTGACTTACATAAGGTATATTACAGCGCTCTATTACCGGACGACTAATTGGGCTAAAAAAGAACATACATTCTGGACTAAAAGTAGTTAGAATCATTCTTCGATTCAAACTCAAGGTTAACTTTGCCATCCGAAGGATAAAATTGGCCAAAACTTAGGACACTAGGAGATAACGAAGAAAGTAAACCAACAGTTTAGACATAGTTCAGGATTATTATTGATGAGTCGCTTCATTACAGTATGTAATAAACAGTTTCGGGATTGGTGAAACTCTAAGAATGCTAGAAAATTCTTTGAAGCATAAAATTCAGATCAATTAGCAAACAACAGAGACTTCGATATACATCCAACTTATGCATCGTACAGAAGCGGTCAATCAATCGTAAGACCAGAATTCAGCCGATAAAAACAGTCAAAGTGAATGAAGGAACGAAAGAAAGCATAGGAACGTAGGAAGACAACCAATAACAAACAATACCATAGGAAAAAATTGATAAAACACTAGTGGAATAACTGAAAAGACCACTTTTATGTGGAGTGGGTGTTGAAGATTATGTCCAGAGTGATAATGAAAGCTCTGCAATCTAACTCACAGAACGAAATGCGACCAAAAACACAGTTACGTATGCTGCTTAATATCTTCATATACTGATTTTTTACCAGCATATGCATTAACTCTTTAGCTCCATAAACATTGTAGATTGATAGTCACTGATTTCATGAAGTTCATCAATTAATTAACTAATACAAACAATGATGTTATATAGAGGTAAGATGTTCCTAGGCATATATAGTATCAGTCAGTCAGTCAGATGCAACGTAGAACTTCGTACGTAAGTACATCAGTTCATGTCGCCATACCACATCAGCACAGAGATGTAATTGTCAATTCAAATCCAATAGTAGAAGAGGTAGTAAAGGTATTAGGAGTAATCGGAGAGGTTAGGATTAGAAGATATTAATCATACTTTAGTAATTTCACTTGGTTCTGATCGAAAATTCGTCAGTCAACTTATAAAGTTAAATTAAAACATTTTCATTGAATTGACACAATGATAGTTAAATATTCCGTAATTTCCTGCTTACATTGTTTATATTCAAAAACAATCTATGGTGAGTTGTTAACTTTATTCCAAATTTGTTTGAGTTATTAGTCTGTAGGAAACTTTTTGAGATTAGTTATAAACTAGTAAAAATAATTTTTTTTGATAATGACATTTAATCACAAGTTTTAATTAAAGATTTGTATAGTGGTTGGCAATTTATGGGTCAAAAGTACCAGCATCGTAGTGTAAACAGTAACTCACCAACTGCTGACATTTGATCGGATTGGGATAAATGAAACTACTAATTAGTGAACTCTTTAATCTAGTGGTCCTAATATGGTGAGCATATGAGTTGTTAATCTCATAGCAGTAATAATGTGATTATCCATTTGTATCTACATTAAATTTCTTGAAAAAAATCATTCTACTTATAAGTAGTGTCAATAAAAACAAAGATACATTGACTGATTTCAATTAGCGCGAAAAAAAATCTCACTGTACTTGATACATGGATGAAAACAAACGTTGATCACTGTTTGAAGTTATATGAAGATAAGTTATCTGATTTGAGAAAATTACCAATTTTAGTTTTTAAACTGAAAAAAAACTCACGATCACATGAACATACTGTGTCTGGTTGTTGAAACAACAATCTTAGGAATTTCAATCTATTTAAACAATGAAAGAAGCATAGTTTATGAAGAAAATGCTTTTTTCTTGTTTACATTTAACATACTATTAAAAGTTCTCACATTCTCAACTGATGTGTAATTTTTCCTCCGAACTTATTTCATTAATTCCTTCTATTACAAACTGTTTAACTTACTAAAAATAAAAATATTCAATCAAGAAAAAATAACAAAAAAATAACAGAAGACCATATCGATTAAAGTTATATTTTATTACTTTTAATGTACATGTGTTTGTAAGTGTTTTGGTTAACAAGTATCACGTTGACTAGCACAGACATTTGAAATAGAAACATTCTAATGTTTACCGTGAACAAACATTCTTTTTTCTTAACTATAATCATTCATACCAATCAATCATAGAGTAAATAATGTTGTATACAATAAAAATACGAGAGAGAAATAAAGAGATTTGGATATTTTACTCAAAAATATTTTAAACTAGTTAAGAATTCGGTGTTTAGTTGATCATAATCATTAAGAAGATATCTTTTCATACAGATTTTAAGGTTTACGATACGAAAACAAACTCTTGCAAATAATAAAAAATAACACTCGTTGGATCTGCCAATGTTTATCTGGACTTAGTAGATTAGTAAAGAAAAGGTAGCTATTGAAAATGATAAATATCAAAATATTGGGTGTATTTGAGAGAGAACGAGTTCTTAATACGACGAGATGTGTGCTCTGGGTTTCAGTGGTAACCACAATCCGAAAATTTAAGATGGTTGAAGGTACCTGGTAAAAATATTTGTTAAAATATAGTTTTCATGCGAGTTCGCATTCGTAAGTAAGGTATATCTGCGACTTTAAGGGAACCAATGCTCCTTATAGGATTGAAATCCACATCACCTAGCTTCATAAACCGATACGTTACCATTTATGTATTCGGGAAGTGGCTAATCCTTTGTAAGACTGAAATATTTATAATGAATTGATCACTAATTTGTGACCAATGTCATGCTTGTTTAGTCCGTTAGTGCAATGTCATCACTAATCTAGGTGATTTGACATCGCAAGCATTATGTTTTGATGTTAGGTGATTGAAGGCAGTCTATAGGAAACCTTGAAATACAATAATACAGAAAAAAATACCACAAAACTAAGACGGATTTCCAAAGTCTATTTCATATATCTAATTCTTTTATGCTTTAACTGTTTCATCTATTTCAATAATTCCGCCCAAATAACCAAGGGATAACGATGAATTTGTCGAAATCACCAGACAAGTATTTCTACAGTAAAATGCATGTATGTTGTTGGTGAGCGTAGGTCACTTGATTGAAATCCTCAAGATAATTAAGACCAGTGATTGAAGACATCGCGTAACATTACCCAGAATAAGTCATAGTGGCGTACATTCATTCATCCTTCGTTCATCAGTTTATTATATACTTTTTACCTGTCAAATTCATCTTTTCCTTTCAAACCGTATGCAGTCAGTTAGTCAGTTGCAATGCAGAACTTCGTACGCATGTACCACAACAGCACAGAGACGCAAATCTCAAATCAAATCCCATAGTGATAAAGATAGTAGAGGTATTAACAGTAATGAAGAAGACTAGGGTTTGAAGATATTATTCAAGAAGTGTAATTCAGTGAGATAAGGTTAGAAAGACAAAGGTAGAGGTGCTGACGAATCCAGAAGATTAGGATTTGAGAGAGCACAACGAATGGATGCACTTGTGCCATTGCAAACGATTTTGAGCCATGTCGTTCAAGGTCTCTAACCATTGGTGACTATCGTCTCGCAGACCCCAACCAGGTAGCCTACATCTACCAACATGACTCAGTCCACTTGTCAGTGACTTCATGGATTTCTACCATGTTTTGGTCTGGCCGGCCCTAGCTTTCTTCCAACAACCATATGCCGAAATGTTTAATCTTTCTCCATATCATTGAGACCACTATTATTTCAACTCTTGTCATTTATCTTGCTAATTTTAGATCACTTTGCCTGTTATATGGCATATATAAATAGTAACAGTAATAGAAAAAATTAGGCATAGAAGATATGATTAAAGAAAATATGGATTTCCTAAACAAAAACCTTTGTAAGATAATTAAAAGACTTAAGATCATGGGAATATGAAGAATGAATGCATCTGAACTGTTGAGAACAAGTCTGAGCCATGTTGCCCAAAGTCTCTAGTCAATAGTTATGATAACTAGATGAAACCCAATCAGATAGTTTGCATCTACCTACATGGTTCAGTCCAACAGTGGTTTGGCCTCCCTAGGTGTCTTTCAACCGACTTTCACACCAACCATTATCACACATCGAAATAAGTGGTTGTACATATGTAATGCATATCGAAACCCATCTCAGTTGATGAATACCAACCCTTCTAGTAGTCTATTTGTTACCTTTACTTAGTATTCTGTATTTAACCTTAGCACTGGTTACTACTGCATAGTTTCAACATTTACGAGTGATGCTTCGAAAGTATCTATGATTAAATACTAGCAACCCATGAGTACCCTGTTTTGAAGGTCAAGTCTCAAACATCATGTAGATGAAAGCAAAATATTAAGCATAGTACTCATCTTCTGTGATGGACAGATGGACATCTATCTCACGCTACAATAGCCTAAGTTGGCAATTTAAAAAGTACTTAATTATTTTAACTGCTAAACTAACCGAAATTATTTTTTATTTGCTTATCAAGTTGAACAGCGTAATCAATTATACTATCACTGCACAACTGAACTACTCACCAATGTAATCATATTTAATGTGATCGATCATAATGCTTATGTTATATAATATGTAATATGTAATATGATACTTTAATAAAACACTAATCTAATTAGTCACATGTTATTTGTTGAAAAGAAAATATTGTCATCTTATTCATCATATTTCGATGTTCAATTATGATTCGTTTTTCATCCACGTGTTTGAAAAAGAGTATTGAACCAAAAAAAACAATCTAGCTTTCTTAACTCATCATGTTTCAACATTAAATAGTAGTTTTTTATTGAGTTAAGTTATTTAAGTTATGAATAATTCTATTATTTTTTTTACTAAAAATTATTAAATTGAAGAATAGTAATGAGCTTGTTGTTAATTTGTAAGATGATTGAACCACAGGGGTTGTAATCTCTTTTTTAATTATTTATGCATAAATTTACATTGTATCTTAATTCTTTTGTTAATCTGTATAAAAGTTAAAGAAATGAGACAGTAAATTCCAATTCAATGATTTGAAAGTTAAGTTGTTGTCGTAAAACTTGCTTTGTCTTGTTTATAACATTTACACTGGAGATTGTAGCAGAATACTAGTGAGGAATGAAACAACTACTTAGTATTCTTTAGTTTTCAATGGTTTGGAACAGTTGTGTGAATTACCTTGCAGTTGAATTACATTTTTTACTACCTAAAACATAAGTATTTTGAACTGAATGCATTTTATATCTTCAAAATAAAAGCTTGATTAATCAGTCAGTCAACAACAATACAGAACTTCGTACGTAGGTACATTAGTTCAAGTTGCCATACCACATTAGCACAGAGATGCAATTGTCAATTCAAACCACATAGTAGTAGAGGTAGTAGAAGTGTTAGCAGTAATCGGAAATTTTAGGGTTCGACAATATTATTCAAGAAGTAGAATCTAGTGAAATAAACTTAAAAGGAAAAGATAAAGGTGATGAGGAATTCAGAAGGTTAGGATTTGAGAGAACACAAAGAATGACTGGACCTGCGCCATTGCAAACAGTTTTGAGCTGTGTCATTCAGGGTATCTAACCATCGATTATTATCATCTCGCACGCCTCAACCAAGTAGTCGACACCTACCAACATGGCTCGGTCCAGTTGTCCGTGATTTTATGGATTTTTTCCACGTTTTGGCTTAGCCTCCCCTAGTTTTGTTCGAACCTATACCTACATCGCAAAGCATAGCTTGACGAGGCAGCTGATGGTTATGCATACACAACACATGACTAGTAAAATAAATGATGTGGATTTTTACTGTAATTTAGTGAATAATGGTAAAAAACACTAAGATTACTTGTCAAGGTTATCAGCGAAACCAGCAAAAATAAACTTTTGAATACCACAATCATGTTCTCAATTACTAACATATATGCATGAAAAGAGTATTTGTTTTAACCGGGTCTAAATGTGGTCATCGACTAGCTGATATAATTTTGCCCAATAATACTTCATACCTTAACGATCATTGGAACTTATGCCGAAACTTTATATCTTGTTCTGTGAGCGTATTCACCAATAAATTTCATTTAATTATTTAAACGACGCGGGATTACACAAATAACATTCTTTTATTGTGTAAACATGCTGATTGAGTGAAAGTGTTAGTAAGGTTAATAAGCAGTAACTTGTAACATTATACTTTGCAATATTAATAATAATGCATGCTGAGATTTAATAGGCATTTTATAAATATTTTCTTTAAATAGTCTCATATGGTGAAACAAAATGATGAATAGTTTGAATGTAAACTGCTTCGGTGTTTTCATATAACGAAATCAATAACACTTTTGTTAATTAATATATTAAAATAACTTGTTTCTTTCTTTATCTTTCCAGTCATTATGCAATAAATCGTATTAGAAATGTAAAGTCTTAATTATATAAGTGCTATAGAGACTTGGTAGGTAACATTGATTGGTCACTGTTCAATGACCAATGTCATGTTTTTCTAGACTTTACAGATTAATCGATTTAAATATATCAGTCTTACAGAAAGTTATTTGCTATCTGAATACCGTCACGGTCTATGAAGCTAGGTGCTGTGGGTTTGAATTCCGACTAGGACATCGGTTCCATTAAATGCTGGAGTTACACCTGATTGACAGTGATTACACCTTTTCTGATAAATTTTACTATGCTTTCTTCACAAATTGCAATAACTCGAATTTATACAGTTTAATTTATTAGATAAAATGTAACTATGGAACACTTTATAATGTGACATTGTAGTTATTTATTTCATTTAAAAACATTAGTTGTATACGTGTGCACTCGTGATTAAGGTATGAGACATTAGAAAGAAATATGAATTATTCAATGTCAGTTAGTGAAATGCACAATTAAATGCTCAAGTACATACATAAAATACTACAACAACAAGGGGGAGAAGCAGAAACGATTAACATGATGAAATAAGAACTGAGTGTAATTAAATTCATATGATAAATATGATTTCACTCAATATGTTCAATCAAATTGACAAGAACTACGTAATATATATATATATATATATATATATATATATATATATATATGACCCTAACAAAGATCGAATCCGAAACCTCTATAATTTCAGTCAAGCACATAATCTTCAGTCCATTCGGGATACTGAGCTGTGATCAGTTGTCATTAATGATATTTTTCAGATTTGAACTTCACTGGTTAAAAATTCTCATTAGCACTTGTACGAGCACATGAGGTTTGTGCAGATTCTCCGATTTTATTGTTTGCATCACTTGTAGTTAACTGAATGCTACCAAATTCGGAAATCAGACTGTTCTCTAGCACACTAAACTTTTTTGGCCACATATCAAAGCGATTTGGTAATAAAATTCTCTCTAATTCCAGAAGTTTTGATTAGCCGGTGTAGATTCAAAACAGTTTGTTTACGCTTTACTTCTGAGAATATTTCTCTTCGATTAATGCTAACGTTTAGAGTTCACAAAATATTATGCTTTGTCTCCTGAAGCCAAAAAAGAACGAGCAGGGTTCGAACCAATAATCCATAGGTTAGAAGCTGAATGTTTTAACCACTATTGAACCATTTTTCTTAATTAAGACAGTTCGGATAACTCGTTTCAATAGTTTACTATTACTTTTTAGACTTAATCAATTAAGAAAAGTTCACAGAGTATTAGTCTTTAGCTTGAAACTAAAAATAAACAAGTGATTGAAGTTTTTCCATTAACAGATCTTAGGCTCAAGTGTATTTATTTACTTTTAAACACCAACATTTTCATGATCAAATTCAAGTTCTAACTTTATATAAATTGCACACAATCTATATCATTAATACCTGTGAATAAATAGAAAAGATTTGAAGAAATGAAGTTTGAGTTTGGTTACGTTAGTAATATGAAATGAAAGGTTAGTTAAAAATTCCGGTAAACTCATAGTGTTATACGCTCATCTCTAGAAGAACAGAAAAATTAACAGGATATTAACAAAATCTAGGTTTATATTTAAAAAGTAGGTCATTTCGAATTTTTATCCTTGACAAAAATGTATTAGAAGGATAAGTGTTGATTTTTTAAAATTGTATTCGTCATAGCTTAACTAGTTAGCGCTGAAAAGTTGTTTTATCCTAGTGTAGGACTTCTCAGAAATGAGTAACCACTACCCTACTAGGGACCGAACATAGGAATGTCAGGTCTTGTATTTGACCATTAAAAGCAACTGAGACCAATCAGAGACGAAAACTGCCAACAACTTAAACTGATCTCGAAAAACTCATTTTAAAGAAAGTGCTTAACTAAAAAGCAACAAGGATTTGATTAGGTAAGCGCCAAATATGCAAAAATTGATGAGATATTTAAGACGTGACAAAAATAAAGTGATCAACGTGGACAATTCTATTTTAATTAATCCCAATGCATATCAGTCAATTTTCTATTTTTGTCTCTCATGATATTTTGAATGTTCAGGCTGTGGAAGTCGTCATCTTTCCTCAAGGATGGATCACTAATTAATGATTTCATAAACTGATATGCTACTACTGGTTTACAAAATCTACATACACCACACAAGAATGAAGTTGTTGTAAGGAGAAGATCTAACGTATTAAATAACGAAATTATATAATACAGTAAAAAGTAATAAACTACTTACGTTTTTTCATTTCTTAATGAATTATGTGTAGGTGAATGCTTGATAATAGTGTTTGCATTTGTTTTATACTGTTCACTACTCAATGAAGCTTGTATAAGTGGTTTTCTAGAATTTAATGCAGGTAATCGAATCGGTAATACATGTGTACTGATTAATTCATCATTTGATTTGATTATTTCTTTGTCTTGTTTTTCAAAAACATGTTCACTATCAGATGAATGAAGAATAGTTCGTTTTGTCAATAAATTATTTTCTGATATATCTAATGTTGTTGATGATTTAACCGGAACTGAATGAGAAACAGTTGGTATAAGTTTATTGACTGATAACGTTCCAGTTGTAGGTGTTATCAGATCATTATTTACAGTGGCTGTATCTGCTATGAACTGGGTTGTTTTTTTTCATAGATAAAAAAATTAAAATTCATAGTATTTAGTGAGCATTTTACCAGCGTAGATTTAGTAATGGTATTAATAAGATAAGATCCTCAAAAAACCTAGTTAGATCGAAAGATTTATTCATTCTCATTTCAGCCAGAAAGTCAGGTATAAGTTACGTAGAGTTAGACACACATTAGGATCACTAAGTCACCGCATCATTAGGGAACAAAAACCAAGACAAATGATGAAGTAGTAGAAGGTAATAAAAATATAAATAGTAGTAGAAAAGATTCATGATTCGAGAATTTTAAAACTCAAGATCAAGGCGGAAATAATTAGTGACTGGCATCTCTACGTCATCAAGATCAATTTTGAGCCCTGTTACCCAACATCATTAACTGCGCGAATCCCAGTCTCGTTGTCTACATTCACCACCCTCTATGATGACAGCTAGATAGATGTATCATAAAATTTTATTGTAGCGTGCTTTGTGGATAGGAACTTATGCGGTACAGTAAACACTCCATAGATGTCAGTAGATGCAAGCTGACAAACTTATGAACTAAGTTATTTACCTTATAATTTCACTGCAGAAAGAAAATTTTTAAGACAACTATAATTGAATGGTGAAAATTCTATAGAGTTCAGACAAGTCTGGAGTATCACCAGTTTTGATGATTGTTATATGTCTTGTAATGACTAACGTTCGACATGAGAAGCATTATTTGCCAACTCAGTGATTTGAAGGTTATATGTTCGTCGTAACATTTGATTACTGGTGATGACTTAGGGTAATGCTGTTATAAACTTTAGTCTAAAAGGAGATAGCTAATTAAGGTTACCTAGTTTTCACTGAGTGTCTAGATGAAGTCACTTTGGTTTTCAAAGCATTATATACATATTCTTGTTATCACACTTATTTTAAACAGAGTTCATAAATTAGTTTTTATTTGTTTCAAAGATTGATAGCAATGACAAGTGGAAAACATTATTGAGGCCAGAATTAAGTATTCATTTTAAGTGGTGTATAATATCATGCTTTTAACCAATTAACTATTAGCTATTTGTTACATGTCAAAACATCACTATCAGAATCAGGTAATCAAAACCTCTTAACGCACATCCCTGCATTTTGGTTGAGGCATCATAAGCCAAAAGTTTAAATTGTACAATAAATAACCTTACAGTTTTTAAGCATTATCGGGTGTGTTTTTGTCGAACAACTAAGGATATGTAATTGAACTTTAAAATGCATTACTTTGAGCGACTTAAATTCATAAAGATTAATAAACATTTCTTGACAATATTTCGCATTGATAAACTTTATGAAGCATTCAGTCAGTTACAACGTAGAACGTCGTACACACATACATAAGTTCATGTTACCAGATCACATTAACACAGAGATGCAATCGTCAGTTCAAATACTATAGTGGTAGAGGTAGTAGAAATATTAGCGGTAATGGAGAAGATTAGGGATCGAAGCTATGAAGCCTTATAAACTATATACTAAAATAATAACAACAATGACTTACATCAGTATTCTTGTTCAAAACATCTTGACATCTCCTCGAGACTTCATGATTATCATGTTGAGTTTGACTTATATTTGAACTTTGAAACATTTCATCGATTTCTGAAACATTCTTCTGCTCTGACGATATCGATAATCTTCCATTTTTACATGTGAATCTTGGTAGTCTTAGTTAAAATGTGGAAAAAACCACTTATTTAACAGGTTATCACTAATGAAAAAGTTATTTCAAGTCAGTTAAATTTCGGAGTGCGTTATGTGAAAAAAGAATTATGACAAAATGGTTAAATTATTATTTACTCCTTTCTTTATGGATACATTAGCAGTTTTTATTAGTTAAGTCATAAATTGTAATAAGATTTCATTAAGGAAAATATAAATAATGAGATATAATTTTTAAAAGTAAAAATGGGCTATTTCGCCCTGTGTAACTTCAATCTGAAACATTATGCTTTGGTAAATGGTCTCACAAAATAAAACTGACTTTTTGCATTTTAAAACAACTACTTTAGAAATCAATAAAGACATATCCGACTAAAAGGGGACATTTTTCAAATTAGATTGGAGTTTTTTAAAATGCTTACCACAACCTGATGAAAGCTGACAAAACATTCTAAAAATTATTTATTTACATTCATACAATAAAGTTAGGATGAAAATGAATAGGATTATGACAAACTGAGCTTGATCAAAATGAAAGCTACAGTAAATACAAACCAACTTAAGTATGTCATGTTTTCGGCTGAAATTAGTAAGTTTTCAGTCAGTCAGTCAAATGCAACGTAGAACTTCGTACGTAAGTACATCAGTTCATACCACAGCCATACCACATCAGCACAGAGATGTAATTGTCAATGCAAATCCAATAGTAGAAGAGGTAGTATAGGAATTAGAAGTAATCGGAGAGGTTAGGATTAGAAGATATTATTCAAGAAGTATGAGTAAGTGAGATAAGTTTAGAAAGTCAAAACTAGAGGTGTTGAAGAATCCAGAAGATCCGGATTTGAGAGAACACAAAGAATAAATGCACCGGCGCCATTGCGAACGATTTTGAGCCATGTCATTCAGGGTCTCTAACCATCGATTATTATCATCTCGCGGACCCCAACCAGGTAGTCGACAATTACCAACATGGCTAAGTCCACTCGTCAATGACTTCATGGATTTCTGCAATGTTTTGGTTTGGCCGATGAATATCTTCTACTCTCACTGGCCATGTTTCACAGGCATAAAGTAGGACGGAGCGAACGACCGCACAGTACACTCGTCCTTTAGTCAGCAAACGGATATCTCGCCTACGCCATAAGTGACGCAGGTTGGCAAAAGCCAACCGAGCCTTCTGTATCCGAGCTGAGATTTCGTCAGTCACCAGGCCATCGGCACTGATGAGACTCCCAAGATAAGCGAAGCGGTCTACACGTTCGACTACTTCACTCCCTACCATTAGTTCAGGTGCCGATGCAACCCAGTCTTGAAGCAACATTTTGCATTTCGAGGGGAAAACCGCATCCCGAACATGCTTGCATTGTTGCTTAGGGTAGTCAGAAGACTCTGCATTTTGTCAGCGTATTAGTAAGTTTTAGTTGGTATAAGTGAATCATGTGTGGATTTTTTATTTTACTTAAACTCTTAAACAATGGTTTATACGCCACACAAATTGTCGAATTGATTTGGGCTGAGATACTGTCTGAACACCCAAATTGAACTAGGTGGTATTTCCAGGGGACAAATCCCCGAGCTTTTCACTGACAGGTCGAATCCACAAAACAATGGAGCGATGCAAACCTGTGGTAACTGGTGACCAAAAATATGTTCATATGCCATTTGTTTCATCAGGATCCTGTATCCTATGTGCACCATTGGTTCAAAATCCAGGTTTTTCAACTCCCCTAGGTGGATTCTGCGTTTCAGCCAACCCGAATACAGCGTTGAACGGACATTGACTTTTGTCCTCGCAATTTCGTGCACAATGATATGGCAACAAGAAGGGAGTAAGACATGTCTGGTAGTGGCTACATACCCATGGCCATATATGAGCGTTTCGAGAGAGAGCAAACTCTCCCCGTTCTCGGTCGTACCAGGGCATTTAGAGGGAAACTTTGATGTACTTGCATCCCAGAGTTTATGTCAAAATATCTATTTTGTTTCTACTTTCTGTACTTATATGCATAATTATAGTGCTAAACTTTGTTGTCCTTATCCTTTCTATTCACTAAGCAGTAGTCATGATTTTGATAATTGTTGAGTGGTCAATATCAATTAATGAAGACCACTTGCGAGAAAAATTTCAGTCAAGTGATGGTTCGAGAGTGATTCTGTGTAAAATCATCCAGCCTATCTGCATTTGAATGTATTCAAACGGAACAGTACACACAGAGGTATATAATTTTTCAAATATAAATTCATAGTAACTTATTTTTTATTGTAGTTTCATTGACCTTAACTCATGGAAAGAAGAAACATATTAAAAATAAAATATTAAGAAAAGAAGACAGGAGAGATTTAAAAGCTTTTATGACTGTCATGTCAATCAGATAAATAGTCTAAACTGGAAACAGTGAGCAGCTGTTCCGCTTTTATTCAGATTCCCATTTTCGTTATCCACCGACAAGAGATTGAACTTAAACGGCTCACCAACAGTTTTAGAAGCATTTGGAAGTTTCTTCTCTTACACTTGAACCACTTGTTGCTGTAGGAACTTCGGGATATTCATGTAAAAGCGATTCACTAATACACACTGAACAACTATTCACTGAGGGTTTTACATAGCTTAGACTTATTGGGCATCGAAATACTAATCTGAAAAACATCAGTCATCTGATTTTCCACCAATAATTGATCGATACTGTATTCGTTGAGATATATGAAGTTTATTTATTCACTCCTGTTTTTCTTGGTTTTCACGCATTAGTTTTAAGCTTTTGTGAATATTATTCCGGTATGTAAAAGCAGAAAAATAATAAAGATTACCTTTCTATTTGCCAACCTTCAAAATTACAAATATTCAATTTATTCTATTTAGTATATCCATAAATTATTGTTTGACGTTTTTGAAGGTGCAGTCAACGATGCAACAAGTTCTTTTAGCTTTTCAATATAAATTTCAAAATACCCTGGATTTAATTATCTTTCGGTCTCATCTAAATTGTATGGTCTGTATACTCTATACGTTCATTCTGTCTCATTTTAAGTGGTCGACTTTTGAGGAACCGTTGAGGGTGGACAATTATTCTGAAAAGTATTTTACTCTTAGATCGAATGATGAATTTACAGAACAAGTAGAAAGTAGGTGAATTAAATACACTTTCCTAGTTTCGACATGAACGTATTCAGTAACCACTGGAATTGTATAACAAGAAGTTGCTTACGCTGCGTACACTTACTTAGCGTATTTTTTCTTCTTTAGACAAAACATTAATAACCAAGCTAACTCATAATCATGAATGGGCATTCAGAACATCATAGAAAGGATTTGGTCTTGAATATGACAGATTATATTAATAATGGGTTACAAAAAGCCTTGCCTTCCAATTTATCAAATATAATTCATAGGTTTAGTCACGGGCGTCAATGATGAAAAATCAGATAAGCTAGTTCCTAGTAAGAGGTATTATTTATGAGATTCAGAAATATAACTGAATATTTATGTACAACTAACACCTTATTTAGGTACAAGACGCACTAGAACTACTGTTATGCACACGCAAGCCAAAATAAGTGATGACAAAGATGGTCTTGAGGATGTCAACAACAGGGTAATTCAAATCATTATCTAGGTATGCCCTGTCTTATGGAAAGTCTCGAAGTATGAAAAAAAAACTGAGCAAAAGTTCAAATTTGTAATGAAAAATATAAGAACTGTGATTTAATAGTTTATGCGGCAGATAACAAAGGTTTAGTGAGCATTCTTACCCTCTGACAGGATTCTGGGATACTTTCAATCTCTCTAGTTGTTTCAGCAAACACGCATTTTTCTTTTTTTCATTTTCAAGATCCTCCTGTAAAATCAATATTTCTTGTCTTAAGGTGTTCTCTTCATTGGTTTTATCTAGTTATTACATCATGTATTTAAGATTAGCCTAACTTTGTGGTAACTTATCACCGGAATAACCAGCAGGACAAGTACACATCACCAGACGATATTGTAAGTCTGAAAAAATAAAAGTCCACGAAACAAAAACAACCTCTATTGATTCTTTTCAAGGATTCAATTTCCTTGTGCAAGCCTTTTAGCATGGCTTCGTGCTGCTTCTGTAAGAATTCTATGCTTTTGTCCACTGCGACGTTATGACTATCGAAACCCAGTTTAGGAGGGCTGATAGTGAGTTCTTCTCTTTTATCAGAGGGGATCTTAATATTCTTGATATTTTTATCCCCAAGAGCATCATTATTGGTAGGAAAATTATTGAGAACAATCATAGTCCCGAATCCAATCTACAGAAACTCAAGTAAAACTAAGTTTCTCATTGGTAGAGTATCTCTGTTTTTAATTTAAATTATCGAATTAAAGCTCTGGGGACTTAAAAGATCCCGAGATTTTCGTCCCTCTTCTCAATTAGCGAGCCGATGTTCATAGCCGACCGAATCTACCAACTTTGGAGAATACAAACAAAACAGTCAACACTGTGTACAATATTCTTTCGTGAATGTGATGGAAAACAGACACGCTTGAGGTATTAAAATCAGGAATTTTCGAAATTAGGCCATGATTTTTTTTTATTCTTTCACAGATTATTCTTCAAAGATCGATTGAATAGTGTTTGTTATGCTGAACTCGCTAACCGAATGCCTTCAGTCATTAGTATTTGTCACAATAGGTCACTTAAAGTTTATTAACAGCTGAAACATGCTTTCCTGTTAAGTCCCGGATGCTTTCTAGAAGCGTAAAGCCGCCGACTGTTTGAACCACGAATTCGACGTATTCTATCGCAATTTTTGACACCTTACTGGATATCATCCAATACAAATAGTCTTATAGGAATGCGCTAGATAAGACATACTTTTGCGAAAATACAGAAAGCTACTATTATATCACCTTTATCCTGCCGTAACGACTGGGTCGATGATAGTTTACTATTTGTGTTGGTAAATGAATCCCTGATTAAACGCTCTTGTTTGTCTTCGACACTGGTGCTAACCTCATGCTAGAGTTGACAAACACTCTGATCCGTGTCATTATCAGTTCAGATCACTCTTCGCATGGAACGCCGTTAAGTCCTATTGACCAGTTGGTGCTTACACAATGGAATTGTATAAAATTATTTACATTCTAATAAGACCCAGGTCAACCATATGAATGCAATGTTAAATATGAGGTCCCATTTATATGGTACATAATACTCATAATATCTTTCTTTGACATGTAAGGGATCTCTGTGAAATTTTCCCTAGGATACGGATATGATCAATCATCAGAATGTCTCATTCACTTGATAAATACTGACTGTAGCATCCATAGAAGGACTGTAGAAGACATAGTAATAGGATTTGTGTTTCAGAAGACTATGAAGTACGAAGTCTCTTTATAATTAGACTATTATTTAGAAAAGCACGTTCGTTTGTACCGCCTAACTACCCGTATCAACTCGTTATACGTCGAGTCGGAGTTATGTTGCTGTCAGACTGACTGATCATTATACTGAAGCTTGGAGATCCGATAACTATGTACCCTTCCCAATCCCAACATGTCAACAAAAGGGTTTACCAACCTCTCCATACAGCGTGCCGAATATCTTCATATCATTCTTATCCTGTGGTGAGCGAGTCAAGAAACCAGATTGACTATGCTCACCACTAAATGTTCCATAATATTCCGTCATGATTAAAAGCAAAATAAATCCATATTCCAAGGTTTTATTGAAGGAAACAGTAGGCATTACATGGGGAACAACAAACAGAGAAAAATGGCAGCAACGCAAAGAGAACGTTGCGCGCAAGAAGTGGTAGAAGTGTTTTCGGTATAGGTAAACAAAACGAATGCAATAATGTTTTTTTCACAAATCGCATTTTCTTCGTAGATGCGTTCCACTACATTCCTTTCAAACAATGTTGTGACAAATAAAATTTGTCGAATCTGGCATACTAACCAGTAAGTCCTAAAACTTTCTGAATTGTCCTTTATTTATCACGAATCGACCAGTGTCCAAACCAAGTTAAAAGCAGTGGCCATGTTCAAAGCTGCTGCGGAGGTTAAAAATATGGTCGGGGTCAGAATCACCTTCACAGAACTTCCATGACTTTCAGTATGGCGGTTGAATGGAGTGCTCCAATTTCAAAGTGTTTGAGGTTGGTTCCGTATGTGTTAGTGCACACTCAATCCGAATTTTAGCTTACTTAAGTAGCCTGATGAAGTCTGAAAGCCTGTAAAAAGTTACTCGCAGCCATTTTAAATGTTTTTTTCTTATTGTTACGTTCAAAAAAACGTAATATCAGAAAAATTATGATACGCAGTTCTAGATACTGTTTGTTTACAATAATGGTATTTTCGAAAAGTCGGGAGACAAATATCTAACGCAACTTGTTGAGCTTCCGGTTTCAGAAATGTTTCCGTCGACTCGAGTGACCAGCTTAGACGGCTCATGCTGAATAAACGCTTCTTGGTTTAGAATGATATCCAGAATATATTTAATTAATTTTACAGCGTAAGATAGTCATAGTCTCATAAATCTTCAGCCTAAGCACATTAGAAGCCATGGTATTCGAGATATGAGAAATAAAGATGATTTAGTTGTATTGAAAGCCTTAGGAATGAGGAACCGTTAGCAATCAGAAGTCCATAAATTCCTAGTCTAAACTTCGTGTGTTGTTTACTATAGACGGGTATTGCATTAAGACGTTCAGGATGATTTATAATTATACATTTGAGTGTTCATTAATGATTTGTGATTTATAGAGTAAGAGACTATCTTTAGAAGTGAAGGAGGACCTAAAGCCTGTTCTTTTGCAGCCATCATCTGTCAACGCAACGGAACATGTATGACCGTACAGTGGCAGTGAAGTAACTTGTAGCATACACATGACTTGCCTCATCCTTTGGACAAGTTAATGAACCCATCCTCCTCAAGTTATTCACACATCTTTCTACCCTGTCAATCATTCGATTATATCTTGGTTGTCTTTTTCCAGTGTATGTGTGCATGCTTACGCCACTTTTTACATGTCTAGCTTATTTTTTCTGACTACAAATACTTATTCATGCCTCATTGCATTGAGTTGGCTCACTCAACTTCTCAAATTCTCTTCGCTTTGCTCTTACGCTAATCATTCCCATGTCTCTCTGGGTGGACGATTGCACGAGATAAACTCAATGAAGTGAACCTTCTTATTATTATGAAAATTGAAGGGAATATTTATTTCATAACATATGCAATCATACGTCGAGATTGGAGTCAGATACCAGACCACTAAAACCCATACTGATGTCAAAATTATGAGGGCAAAGTAAATAGTAAGTTGGTGTATTGCTTTGAAGCCTGAATAACCTAATAAACGCAATTGAACCTGACTTGCAAATCTATAAAATTGCGAGAAGTTGAAAAACTGCCAATTTAATCGTCATAAAACGGGAACAATATGAATGTTTTTTGAAAACACTGGATAAATTTGGATTTGATAAAACTACTTGCTAGTCATTCCTTACTCACTGAATTGGTCGCTTCTTCACGATCACAGATGGGAGATAAACAAACACTCCATTCATGAAATCTGTAGTGATTAAATTTGATTTGACACTTGTCAATAAAACTGTACCAATTTTTATTATACTGACTGTAGCCCGTGGTTCGATTCCATTTTGGACGAGTGATCGAGTATGTGATGAAATAAATCCTCCTTTCCACTCCCAAATATCACAAATGGGCGAACCCTATTTGTGACTCATCAAACTCACGCTTCGAAATCGACGTGGTATCGTTGACCTCCCACCATTTACGGGAAACAATCCAGTTTGGGACATTTAATCTTTCCCGAAGATGTAGAAGTTGACGTCATTCATTGGTTGACAATTCGAGTACAGATTCGGACAAACAGAATCATACCAAGTCAGAATCACTGTGTGGTAGCTCCAACTGTCTAGATCAACAGCTCTCTTCCTAGTTGCTTCGGAAGCATACACACACTCATCCACTCGCAAACACAGGACTTATGGAGAGTTTACTGAATCCACGTGAATTTGCTAGCTAGGATGGTCAAAGGCAAAGTTGCGATTTCAGGGTACTTCAGGTTCTATACTTTCGTAATTATATTTGAAAATGTTTATATTTTCTTCCTTCCAAAACTCTTACCTCACATGTTTTCCCCTTCCAATTATCTCGTTTTTCGTCTCTAAATCTCTTTGATATCATGTTAAGTAATAAGGTTGAAACCACTTCCTGCATTATAACAACTAGGAAAACCAGTAGATGTATGAATTACCAGCATAGTAGCGAGTCGAAAATCCCAGTATTGAACGACAGGGTTGTGAGGAATCTCAAAACGTCACTCTATAACGTACCTCGAAGAGATGTTCACAATTCAGATCACTCCACCTAAACACTTAAACTAGGTCCCCAGCATAAAAACCAATACGAAAATCTTCAGATTCCCACTCGTAGAAAGACCGGTAGACAAAATAAGAATGGGCGAAAAAGGCACCCGGAAACTCAGTCAACAAAGTCTGTCATTCAGAAATTGCAAAAGGATAACTTTATCGCCTGCTCGATACCAAACAAACCAGCGACTCTGATTTTGAACGCAACTTATGTGGTTAGTGGGCTTATTATCACTGCGACACTACATGACCTTGAGAGTACTATAGATTCATGCTGTTACCGTTGTCCGTGGTTCTGTTATATCTGTCCACGGTGGAGAATAACTGAGACAGCGAAAAAGCTAGCATTAGCAAAGGCGGTCCAAAAATCAACCTACAAATCCAAGCATACAGTAGTGACCATGGCACGGCCTTGTTTAATATGGTCATAAACGAAACACTCAGGCAGGACGAAAACGAGCACTCCCTTTGTTGCACTAGGGTGAATTGAAATTGTTCTCTTTCAAGGGCCTGAATGAGGAAGAGCTCATCAACCTAGAGATGGATGAGACCTTCAGTACAAACTTCACTGATCAGTTAAACCAGGCATCCAAACTTTCAGAGTGCTACGCAAACCCAGTGCCAGCTTAGGGAATACCGTATTAATCTTGACTTAGTACTGAAGAAACTAAAATCATTACACCTAATCAAGTCACTAGGGTTAGACAATATTCGCCCCACAGACTTGAAACAGTGTGAGGGAGCCCTCAGTTCACCCACGTGTGATCTGTTTAGGTATTTACTGCAGTCACACCAACTCCCAGCTGAATAGAAACAAGCTCATCTCTCTCCAATCTCCATAGTAGAAGATAGGAAGGACCCAGTCTGTTACAGACCAGTCACATTATTACCAATACTGTTAAAGTAAACGGAGCAGCTTGTGAATGAACAGATGGAGGAGTACATGGAAAAGAACAAAACCTTCAATCAACCTCAACACGGGTTTCGGGAAGGCAGGTTGTGCTCATCGGTTCTTCTCATGGAATGGGACAGTTGGACATCCCGCTAGGGCCGGAAGAT